CTCATCAGGGTGGTTTTTCATTAGTTGCTTTATATGGATCCACTCTATTCCTTCCCCGCTACCTTTGTGCCGGAGTCGATCAGTCACCCACTTTTCATCAACCCCTGCAATCTTGGCCAGTCCGTTCTTGAAGGGCTGACTCTTGATATGTTTAATATATGCCCTCTCTAGTTTGATGCTTTCGCAGTGCAGTAGAGTAGTATACTCTTCGATAGTAGGCACCATGTCTTCCTGGTTAAAGGTGAAACAACTATATCCAGGGTTCCAGAATTGAATTAATGCTCGGAGTAAGGGCTCATCAGTCTTGACATGGAGCAAGAGCGCGATATCACCATATCGTTGGCTGAACTTCTGCTTTCTGTCATTTTTCCAACTGTCCCAAATGTTTCGCAGCTCTTGGACATTATTTTGTTTCAGGCTGACAGCGGCATAACTAACCAGTTCTGACACATAGTTTCCCTGAAGACTGTCTCCCTTCTCTTTCTGAGCCTTCTCGGACCATAGTCGTGCCTCAGCGTTTTCAATCTCTTGTATTACAACACCTTTGTCCATTAATTCGAATTATTTTGTGTATAACAAACGCTTTTTAGGGATCAATAGCCTCTTGTAATGATGCAAACGCTAGAAAACAAACACAAAGGCAAAAACGTTAGTAAAATAAAAATACAAATAAAAAATGACGGAAGGAAAAAGCGCAAAAAAAACATGGTTAGGGTAAAAATATCCTAAGTTTTGGAACGTGGTTTCGGGGTAGGCTCTAATTCTTCATGGTCTCCCGGTTTAGGTTTTAAAAACGGTACCCAAGTTCTCCTTGTCGGTGCCCCCTTGGGCTTGCCAGACCCTTAGTCCTAAACCCATCACAGGCTTGTGTGGACTAAGTTAAACTCGAGGGGACACATTCCCTTATGCCCGCACGGTGAATAAATTCACACGAAGACATAAGGTATATGAATCCCGAAGGCTACTTGCTAGGCCCGCACGGTGAATAAATTCACACGAAGGCGTCGCTTTCACCCCCACTTAAAATAGGGATTGGAGCTCGGGTATAGAGCCTTAGATGAAAAAAAACTTTGAAGTCTGAAATCATGAGAAAACGATTAGTCCAACTATTTACTCGAAAATATAATCAAAAGTAAGTAAAAAGGATCGAAATATTACCTTAAAATTTAAACTTACCATTTTCGTTAAAAAGACAACTGGAAATTACCTTAGCCTGACTCACTTACCTGTCCCCAGCGGAGTCGCCAAGCTGTCGCAACCGTCTTTCAGTTGAGCCCCGGAATTGGGCTTCGACTTAGGAAAATGTGGATTGGAGTCGCCACCGATCATTTATTTAAAATAAATGGGTTGATCGGATACCCTATTTCTTACCTGATCTGCGTCTTACCAGAGATGTGTCGGATTCGGGGGTCGGTTACAGTCAAGGAAGGGCTAGCACCCTTGAACTGCCCTTTCGGTACTGTGTAATTTCCAGTTGTCTTTAATTAAGAAAATTGAAAGTTAAATTAAAAGGTAAAATATTGATCCAAATTGCTTACCACTGATTGTTTGAAGTTCTCTCAAAAAGCCAAGAAAAGGGTTAGGTAATGAAAGTAATAAAATAGAAAAATAAGGCGAACAAACGAAATAATATATAAAAAAACAATGTATACAAAAAAAGAATGAAATATGACTAAATATAAATAAAATATGCAAAGGAAAAAAAAAATACAAATAAAGAAAAAGAAGAAAAATATAAAATATAAATGGATAAAAAATACACATAATAAATAAAATATAAAGCAATGAAATGAAAAAAGAAAAAAATATGCGTAATATACATATAATAAAATAACAATTATAATAGTAAAAATAGTAATGAAATAATAATGATGAAAATACTAAATAAAATATATATATGTAGAATATAAAAATACATAACAGATATATAGAAATAAAGAGTAAAAAATGAGTAATACATATACGTATATAATAATAAAAAATATAATATAACAGCATAAATAAATAAATAATAATAATAGTAAAAAGTAAAAGGGGAAATAAATAAAATAAAAATGGAATAAATAATTAATGAACGAAACAAGAAATATATATATGTTAAAGTATTAAAAAGGAAAAATATCAATAATAGGTAAAATGAATATTCTATATATATATATATATATGTATATACATATGTAAATACAAAAAAAATAAAATGTTAATAGAAATATAATTATAAGATGTAGTAGCTAGATAAAGAAAAAAAAAGTTAATTAAAATAATATATATGTATTAACACTAAGTATATAGATGAAATATATAGAAAATACGTATATATATATATAATTACATGATATAGAATAAATAAAAAAGGTTAGTATAAGTATTAAATTGAATCAAAAACAAGTTAAGTGGCTAAATTGAAAGAAAATCAGAATTAGAGACCAATTCAAAAGCAAATTCGGGGTCAAAATAACTCTTTAAAAGCTGCGAGGGACCAAAAGGGTAGTTTACCCCATTTTCTTTAAAAACACGCAGGTTCTGGGGCGTATATGTGTCAAAATCTGGGCTTAAAAATTTTATTTCTTTCCTCTTTCAAATGAATGCTTCCCCTTTTCTCTCTCGCCTGTTCTTCATATATGAAGAACACGGCGGGTTTCCAGAATCCGGCAACCATACACCGCCTCGCCGCCGCCGTTGAACGGCGACGGCCACCATTCATCGGTGGCAAAACCTAAAAAAATTTGGTTTTTCTGAAAGCCCTTCTCTCCCTCGACTCAAATCTCAAACCGGTTTTTTTGAGATAGGCCTCGGGGGAGGATAGATCTGAGATCAAAATCTCGATCCTTCCCCTAAAAGTTCATCGGCCAAAACAGTTTTCTTTGGTATTTTCTGAGATAGGAACAACAAAACAACAAGCATGCAAGCCTCAAAACGTACACGGTATAGACTTTACCTTCTGTTGCTTTCGAGAATCTTGAAAAAATGTTTCGATATCAACCCAATATTGCTCGTAGTTTTTGTGTAATTTATGTTTTGTATTCTCTCCCCTTCGTTGATTTACAAACACATATTTATAGCCTAGAATCTATTCTATTTTTGGGATAGAGTTCTAATAAAACTAATATTCTTGGCTTGTTGGTTGTCTGTTGAGCGAAACGACCGGCGTGGAGCGTTTTCAACGGAGGTTGTTGCATGAGAAACGAGCGGCCATGAAACTCGGACGTTGGGATGTGCTGCAGCGCAGATGAGAGATATAGCTTGCTAGGGTTCTGTAAACCCTAGTCTGAACCAGTCCGTTGGGCCATCTGGGCTGCTGAAGACGGGCCATTACGTTGTAAAGGCCTGTTGCAGAAATAAAATACATATGAATGTATCAGTTTAATAAAATAATAATACTTATATAATATATATATGTAATATATAATGTATAAATATATATGTTTTTTCGGTCAAGAAAAGTGTGTCTACACTAATACTAAATAGAAATAAGAAATCGTATAACTTGAGAACACCTAGAAACCAAAGCTCCATCATTCGTTGAAAGAAATGTCATGGGTGTTATTCAAAATTCTGAAACAAAGTTTATTTATCCCAATGCTCGGCAAAACATCCATACTAGAGCTTTGCTAACTCCAACAATATCTAAGTTCTCAACATGAACCCAACATTATGGCATTGATCTTCAATTAATTGATTACTAAATTACTCCAAAAGAGTCCATTGAAACTAAGCCAAGCTTCGGCTTCTTCAATAAAACTTATCAAAATAAAACAAATAAATTTTAACCAAGTTATCACCCACCAAATTCATGGCCGAATCACTAAACTAGTCCCTCTAATTGTTTTCACTTTCATGCTTAATCATGCTTCCATAACACTTCTAGAATCAAAACCCAATCTTATTTCTTTGAATTCTCATTTCCCTTCATCCTCCAAAATCACAACTTTCACAAATCAACATGAAACAAAGAAATAATTATGTTAACTTGTGGAAAAAAATAGCGTAGGTAAATTTCTTATTTTACACTTTAGCCCAAAATCCTAATAAATTAAACAAAAAATGGGAGAAAAAAAATAAAACACACTTACCTTGCTATGAGGCTCGACAGTAACTGAATATGGAAGGAGAGTTCGTGAGATTTCTTGAAAAATCTCCCCTTTTTATTTAATGTATAATTAAAAACATGAATTTTATATTCAATTTGGTCTAAGAACCAAAATTACCATTAATGAATTCTCAAAATTACCTTCATGCCACTCCTTAATATCTATTTTGATATTATTAAATAATCATAAAAATCTCATCTTTCAATTTTCTTTTAACCCTCCGATTTTTCAAAATTTTAATTTAGTTACTAAATTGCACTATTCCCCTTTATGGTGCAATTCTCACTAAATTTCTACCAATCTAACTTAAATTTCACTAATAAAAAATATACATATAATTTTTCCAACCCAAATATACATTCCTTCAAATTTTTATAAACTTTCGATTCGATTATCTGAATAATATATAAAATTTTATCCTTTAATAGTCTTTTATTCAAATTCCGATCAAAATTATGAAACCCACTAAAATAATTTTCTTGGGATAAACTACTAATTTACAAATCCAAAATTTAACTTTTAAAAATGAATACTTTTAATCCTTAAACTTTTATAACTTTATACTTTAATCCCTAAACTTTCAAAACTTACATTCCAATCACCAATACAAAATTTGGGATATTACAATTCTCCCATTTTTTTAAATTCGTACTCCAATTTTCAGTCGTTACCAGATCCAAATAGGTAAGGAAACTGCTTCTTGGTGAAAAACATTCCAAAAAGAAAATATACTGTTGGCAACAAACTAAAACAAATGCTCTTGGTCTTCTCGGTGAAATATTTTGATCAGATCTGAAAGCTTTTCTCTCAATTTGAATTACCATTGATTTCATTTCAAAACAGCAAAGATCACTGTATTCACCTCGCTTAACCGGGAAATTCGAGATCCACACATTGATAATTAAAATCAACAATATAATACAAGATCAAACTCCATTAACTCATTTTTTGAACAATAAAAATTTAAAGTGAAGCAGACGAAAGGGTGAGATTAAGATCCAAACCATCATCGTCTTCTTGATTTTTCTGGTCTTCTTTCTTGTTGTATGGAGTTGGAAAAACGACGAGCGGCCTCGGAAACTCGAATTCTGAAGTGAAATCTTCCCATTCAAATCTCGGAACCCAACTCGATCGCTCATCATTACCCAACTTACTTGCCTTGCTCTTCTTCATCTTCTTATTTATATCCTCCTCGTGATCTCTTAGTCTCAGCTCGTGTTTTCGCTTATCACGCGCCTCTCGAAAACTCCTTAGCAGAGCAAAAAACTGCTCCATTTTCTCATCTTCTTGCTCCTCACGATCACCTTCGCCATTCGAAACATGATTTCTCTCCTCCGTCGCCATGTCAAAAATGTTGAGGGGGAAAAAAGTTGTACGAGTTTTTCTGGTGTTTATTTGTTGATGACGAGTTCGTTCAAATTTAAACAAGTTCGGAAATAGAAAAAGACTTAAATATATAAAAGGTTTACAACGTATAATTTTATTTCTAGTTTAGTGTTTAACGTTTATTTTATTTTAGATTAGTGTTTAACGTTTTATTCCGTAACTTAAATTGGGTTAAATTGTGACGGACCGTTAAGTTTGGTCGTTAAGTGACAAGTGTCACAACCTTATAATGTTAAAATTTTTATTTAAAATTTAAATATATATATATATATATATATATATATATAAATGAAAACACAAAATTTGAAATAAATTCAAAACTTTAAAAACTTTCATTTCAACTCCTAAACCCACACCAGCCACCGCCTTTTACCGACAATGAAACTCCACCCGACCACTCATCCCCTCGACGACCAAAACCTCCATGAAATCGTGATAAATCGATGACGAATCAATGTTTTATACCCCACGAACCCTAGGATGCAAATTGCGATCTCACGCGATTTCAACGGTCGATCGACCATCGATCGATCATAATTTCATAGGATTTTGGTTGTTGGGGGAGGTCGGGTGGAGCTTTGTCGACGACAAAAGACGGTGGCCGGTATAGGTTTAGGTGTTGAAACGAAGGTTTTCAACATTTTTGTTTTCTTTTTAATATATATATATAATTTTAGTTTTTTAATTTTAAATAAAATTTTTAAAATTATTAGGTTGTGACGTGTCATTTAACGACCAAATTTAACGGTCGATCACAGCCAAACCCAATTTGAGTCGAAATAAAATGTTAAATACCAAATTAAAACGAAATAAACGTTAAATATTAAACTCGAACAAAAGACTTACATATATTTAAGTCATAAAAAATAATCGCACTCCTAAAAAGTCAGACATGCCCCGCCGACGTTAAACACATCTTGCGTCAACTAGAAGGGTACAAAAGTAAAATAAGATTGCGACGTGTGAAATCATGAGTTGCGTCAGTTAATGACGCGAGTGTGGGATTGATTGAAGGGGAAACGCTCTGGGTGGCAAGAATGATGACGTAATAACGATGACGCTATACGAGATGAATGAATGAAATTATTGATAAGAAATGAGAGGTTGGCGTGCGTTTTCAACCCTTAGCTGCCAAATATGCAGACATGGCAAGAGCCGATAAGTAAGGCTGCAATGATTTAGATTTCTGACCCAAAATTCCACTATCGCTGTATACTCTTTTGGCATCTTTGTACGGTGGCAAAAAATATCACACAATCAAATATTCCATCTTTTGAGACTTAATTATAAAATAACGGTATAAATTATAGTGTTTTTTTTTCACTAAATATGTATTTAAATTATTTTTTTAAATGATTTTTATGTTTAATATTATAAATATCATCATTTTATATATTTGGATTGTGAACGTTGTTAGCTTTTCGGTAAGTGACACGTGTTTCATTATGATAATTTTAAAATTTTTATTTAAAATATAAAAAATTAAAATTTTATATTAAAAACATACAAAAATTTTGAAACAACCCAAAACTTTGAAAACCTTCATTTCAATCTATAAACTCACACTGATCGTCACCCTTTGTTGTTGACAAAACTCCATCCGACCTCACCTCCCCCGACGATCAATACCCCTATGGAAACACGATCGATCGACGACTGATTAATGACCAATCTATGTTTAGTATTTTGTGAACCTTATGATGAAAATCGCGATTTCGACGATCAATCGACGGAAACTACGACGACATATGACTAAGAAAATGACAAGGACTACTATGTCAATGATGATGATCATAGCCTGTTGAAGTTAGTGATTTAGGATTTTTATGAATTTAGGGGTTTTATAATTTAATAGAAAGTAAGTTTTTTTAAAAAATAAATGTAATAATATTTTTAATTTAAAAAATTAAAACTATCAGAATATGATACGTAACACTTAATAGAGAAAACTAACAGTAATTACAAATAAAGTAGTAACGTTTATATTGTTAGACACTAAGATTATTAAAAAAAATAGCCTAAGCATCTATTCATGAAAAACGTTATAATTTAAACCCTTTAAAATTAAACCATTTTCTAAACACCCATTGGTTAAGACTACGACATCTACCCATGTTTACCCCCAAACCCAGAACGTTCAGATGGAAATACATCTATCATATATTTGTTCCAGAGATTTAATGAAAGTAAAATATTAAATAAATACAAGTTTTAAATTTTAATACAATAATTATTATTTTTTATAATCATCGGTATATAATCTATTGATCGACTAATCATGATCGGGTACTGTAGAGACAAAGACGACCCTCCCAACATTGTATTTTCCATTTCCAATTGCAAGGATTTGAACATTTAACATTATTTAAGGGATCTAATACCTCATCCCACTAGACTAACGAGTTGTTGGTAAAGTAACTATTATTTTAATAAATTATTAAACAGATTTTTAGTTGAATTTATTTTAAAATTAATAAATAATTATAAAATAGTTTAAAAAATTGGGGTAGGGCCTCTCACACCATACATATCTAGGTCCCTGTATTGGGGATTTTCTAAACAGAATTAAGTGGAGGATTGTTGGTGAGTGAATGGACCTGGCTTGGTGATCTTTGAAACACTATCATGATTCATGACACCGACTTCACACCTAATTATGAATGTCACACCTCAAAGTAGACCTAATTTTTTTATATAATTTATGAACAACTTCAATTTTAAAATTCGACTAGATTTAGGATTAAAATGAAATATTTGATAACTTTAGAACCCAATTTTGGAGATCTTAAAAAATCAATGGCCAAAGTTGTGATTTGACCTTTTTTAAGTGAGATTTAATTCCCAAACAACTCGAATCAATACCCAGTTAGAGAAAAATAAATAAAAACCCTCTTCTCTTTCTTTCAACTTTTTTCTTTCTCTCTCTTCAAGAAATATTCCACCTCCATTTACCGTCGTTCTTCACTCGGGAGACGACACCGCCCTCGCCATCGTTTTCCTCTCGTTGTCCCGCGTCCATCGATACCGGTTGCACCCTCACCGTTGCCGGCATGTGGAGGGGTGAGGAGAATGAAGTTTTGGTGAAGCTTTAATGAGTCCTTCATCTTTCTCCGTCGCCAAACAGTTTCGGTAAGTGTCACCCCGTGTTGTAAAATTTAATTCAACGCATTTTGGTGGCCGACCGACCATCGAAAATGGCCACACGCGCCCTTGTCGCTCGTGGGCTTGTTTTCAGTTAGCCTACCGGTTTGAATTTTCCCTCCGACCCGACCCAAGTTGAGCCGAGCCGAGCTGAGTCGCGCTCCTGAGCCATTGATCGCGTTGACCCGCATTGACCGTCGTTGATTGGAGTTGACCAACATTGACTTTTTATCGATACCATTTATCCTAAGGTTTTTAAAGCTCTCTGTCCGATTTTGCGGTTCATTTCGCCAAATTCTAACTCGGTAAGTCATTTTTTTTAGCATTTTATCATCCGATTCGATCTGATTTTCACGTTTAAGCTCTATTTTTTTATAAAATTCGATTTGCCTTGTATCCGAGAGATTTTGGGACGTTGAATTCAAGTTCAAGGGAGATCGAATGGAGTTTATTTGATCAATCGGTTTGGCTTAGATGTCGAGGTAATATTGTACTACCCTATGTATATTTTAGGATACACATTGGTTATTAGTTCAAGGCATGATTAAGTACGATTTGGATAGGTGTTACACTGGTTATTCTGAACTTGTTTTGATTTTGGTATATCGTTAATGAATTGTTTAGAACTTGAATGACCCATTTAAGGAACTAAAGGACCAATATAAATATTATGTTGAAATAAGTTAGCGTTCGAACTCTAAAATCCTGTTTTCCCCTAAGAATCTATATCGTCAACTCTCGCTTGGAAATTGACCAAAATACCCTTAAAGCTTATAAGACTTTTGATTTATATGTTAAACTCATAATCTATTGGAAAAGCTTTCGACAGTGACTTTTAACCTTGAGGAGATACAATCTAAATTCCTTATCTCTGAGTATACTTGGAAATTATCCCCACCGAATGCTTTTCGTACAACTAAATTTACTTAAATAACAGAAATACCCCTGAGCATTAAAATGATCAGAATACCTTTTAGTTTTAGAAGGACCCAAATAACTTTATGACTTGAATTAAGTGAATTCCTGGAGATAAGTTTTTGAATATCGATAAAACCTTAAATGTCATTTTTGGCCATAAGGATTATGAAGTACGACTCAAGTATGGCATAAATCTCTATCATGTGGACATTATGAGAATAAAGTTGATTAATTATGTACGAATACTTCTAAATAAATTTGGGATCCGTATAAAGAAATTCAGAGGATACGTTGTTTAACTTCAAAGCACAATTCGAAATAATAAATATACATCCGTTGATTGATCTTGTCAGAATTCTGGATATGTACCAAATTGATGAGACCATTGTAGTTCGATTTGACTTGGAAGCCAATACAATTATTAGGGATCTGGAATACCACAAATTTTTATTTATCCTCGTTGGGTCGTTTTACTGGAATTCTTCTAAGATTCAAAGTGACTAAAGTGTCCCTTCATGCCTGGATGTCGAAATCTTTTTTTATATATCAAAAATCGTGAATATTTGAATATTTTAGTTCTTGAATACTTTGTGGATGTTTTTGGACTCCTAAATTTCCCGACATATCGGCCTTGAACGTCTGATTTGATCCGTTATTTTACCAAACTCTTTAATCGGGACCTCACTCGAGGAATCAATATGAAATCTTCATTTATTCTGATGTAAAGGTTCATAAATACCTTTCTGATACACCTAAAATCCTAAATGGTCTTGAAGCATCAAACTCTGAATGTTTGTTTAGACCCGTTAGTAATTAAACCCTTTTAATATGTCATCGATCTTGAAATCCGACCAATTTTTACGTAAGTTCATACTTTCTATTCCAGATAATTTCCAAGCACCTTCGAAAAATATATGAATCCTATAATGTGTTCCCTATTGACAAAAATGTTTCTCTGA